ATTAAGATTTTTAATGACACGTTCCAAAGAAAAGGGGTAGGTAAACTCTGCAGTTTCATACACATTCAAGTAAAATAAAAAGTTTTTAAGTTGAGAACGACTATTTATAGGGGTGCGAGCATAACGAGAGCGCAGTCTAGTATAGTTGCTATGAATGGCTGGCCTTTCACGCCGGATCCAATGTAATTAGTGCGCCTCCGGTTTTTCTGTATAAGTAGGATTCAAGCGTTATAGTACCCTCCCGCCGGCGGCTGGTGATATATTTTTAACTCAGCTCATGTGGCGACAACTAGCTGGGAAAGTGTTCAAATAACAAAAGCCTAATGGGGAAAGCTCTCATTTTTATAAACGATTTTGTTTTGTTTCATTTTTATTTTCATTGTGGATTGTTTTGACTCCGTATCTTAGATTAAAATCTCTTTGATTTAATCTAAGCACCATATAGATGATACAAAGAATAAGTACCTTACTACTAATATCTCAGATGTGTGTCCCTCGATCCATCCATTCTTTCGATTAATTAGTGAGCTGTCTCAAGAATTGTCATAGATAGATTAGACTACGATAAGATACTAACTTAAAATTTTGACCACGTAGCCTGAAAAGGATCTAATACGTAATGAAAAATTTTAACTTTGTATATTATACATTTTATATTTGTAATTATTATTTCTTTTGTGTCGCACCTAGACTTAGGCTCGTATTACTTATACTCGTGTTTTTTTTTTATTCGGTAATAGGTAAGCGCTTGACCATAATTCGCCTGATGGAAAGCAATATTATGGTCTACGATGGAGCGTGCTTACCTAATAAAAACCGGTTCACTCTTGCTTTGAAGACCGCTAGATTGTAGTGCTCGGGGAACAAGGGCTCAGGCAAGGAATTCCACAGTTTGGCAGTCCGCACGATGAAGCTAGAAGCGAATCGCTTAGTGCGAGTCTTTGGAACTGCCACCGTGAATCGATGTCGCGAGGCGCGTCAAGACAGGAGTCAACTCAGGCGCACAAGACCTCAGGACAATGGCTGGAATACCATTAGGACCACTAGCTTTATGCACGTCCAGATTGCGCAGCGTTTTTCGTACCTCAGATTGGCGAATTTTGAACTCTGACATTTGAGTCAAACAGCCAGGAGGTGAAAGAGGCGACGCGCTAACAGCATCGAGCCGCGAATACTCCGCGAAAAGAGAAGCAAATAAATTCGCTTTCTCGTCAGCGGTATGGGCTAGCGATCCGTCAGGCTTCAGCAGTGGAGGCAGTGAGGGGCGACAAAAGTTCCCTTCGATCGACTTTGCCAGGGACCAGAACGCTTTACTTCCCGCGGGATACGAAGCGAGCTTGTGCCCTACACGGCTTATGTGATCGAAGCGAGCCCGCTGTAGAGCCTTCTTGCATGACTTGGCAGCCTTGTTAAATGCTTTCTTCTTCTGGCTTGTATCCCTAGCTTTGCATTGTCGAGCATCAGCCCAGGCTAGGTATGCCTCATGCTTCAGCATTTCAGCGCGAGCACATTGAGGTCCAAACCAGGGGCGAGCTTTGCCGAATAGAGATACATCGGAGCATGGAATAAAGTACTCCATACCCAGACGCAGCACATCTGTCACAACATGTGCGCAAGTCGAAGGGTCACCAGAAGAAAAACAGACTGGCTGCCAAGGATAGGATGCAAAGAATGACCGCATCCCATCCCAATCTGCTGACTTGTATCGCCACATCCGACGACTACCTCTAGGGCTTGGGTCAGATGGGGAATAGACGGATACAGATTTCACCAGACAATGGTCGGATTTACCAAGCGGTGACGATATCGTCACTGAGTACCGGTCTGGATCAGTTGTCAGCAGAAGGTGTGTGCGACTCAGCGTCACCTGACGATGAGTCGCACACGTGACGTGACGGGTACCTACCCGAGTAGCGCCTTGAACCAGCTGAGTGAGATTTAACGCCAAAGCGAGCTTACGCGTCTCTCTACCAGCGTGGTTGGTGTCTCGGTATGGGAACAGCCACTCCTGATGGTGTCCGTTAAAGTCCCCCAAGAGCACAAGTTGGGCCGATAGGTACTTCTGTTAAGCCGAATCAGCCGCCTCACTGAGGTATTCTGTGAGCCTAGTTGCCTCCTGATCACCGCTGTGCGAACGGTAGACACAGCCATAGAGAATTTTCTCAATGCCTGTGTCCACCAGCGCCCAAAGCACAGAAAATCTGCGGTCCTCAAGGTTACGGAGGCGCTGACAGCAAATGTCGTCACGGACGTACAAGCACACCCCAGCCCGAGCCTTAAAGTTATGCTCAAGGCTGTAACCCGGGTACAGTAAATACGCCGTGTCAGATGGACATTTGATCTGCGTCTCCGTCAGCACCATAAGAGCGGATTTTTCGGTCTCGAGGTGATGATGGACCGCGTCGAGATTGGAGTGCAAGCCTCGGATGTTTGAGAGGTGCACTTTAAGTGAAAGGGCGTGCAACCGCTGTTTAACCCTTTTTTCTTATTATCCGACATATCATATTAGCGAAGAGTGAAATTCGGTGGTAGATGGCAGTGAGATGAAACTTTTGCGTAGCTAACCCTAGAGACATACAGAATACAGGCACCGAAGGGAGCTAGTCCGGAGACTGCGGGGACGCCCGAGCCCCCTCAGGGATGTCCATCGGGCCCTTTCATCTTGTCGCCAACCGGCACGATGGCGCATCCCCGGAATTTTTCGCTAGTTGGCGGGACAGCCTTTCGTGAGGGGCTGGCTCACTAGTCGGGTCCCCTGCTACCTGCGGTCGGCCAACGGTGCACCGTGCCTGGGATCCCGCTAGACTCCGGGACTAGATACGAGGTGTCTCTGCATCGATGTCTCTAGAAACCGGTCATTGTCACGAACAAAAAGCAATTATCTTACTTTACTCAAGTAAAGATCAACACTTAGTTGTCATTCTGTAATACGAGCCTAAGTCTGTCTCACTTCAGATCCGGTGTGGAGGAGTAATCCTACTAGTCCTACTACCTACTAATATTGTAAACTAGCTGTTCCTGCTGACTTCATACCGTTAACAATAATTTGAAGGAAATTAAAGCTATCCATTCGACAGGAACACAGTTTTAGCATGGAGCAATTGTTTGGAGAAATCATCTGTAGATTGATCGTTCAACAAAGTAACTCGCATATTTACTGTCAGCTGAAAATTCATTACATGTCGCTACCAATTTGATTAATAGAGGCAGGCCTTTATTGCTTGGCAATAGTCGATCTTGGAATAACTGTCACTATCTGGCGGAAATCTGGCGAAAGATTGTAAAATCATTCTGCCCCCGAAACACCTTATTCTAGTTATCTTCGCAACTGCTACCCCAATGTCAAATTTCACATGAACAGCGGCCAAATTAAATTATATTAAAAATATTTTATTCTACCTATCGCATCTTAGTCATTGCATCTAGCTCATGTTCATAATGAAGCAGACTACCACTGTGCATGCGTCGTCGGTGATAGAATGGTCTATCTACCACCATTAGCTGCATCTCCTTCGGTGTTAATTGCATCACGTAAATACTCTTCGAACGCAGTTTACCTCGGTTCAACGGAATGAAAATTAGGCGTTCCGTTACGATTTTGATGCAAGCGACGAATTCAAATATGCAGTTATTGTCACTTTGACGAAATATCAAACAATAATCCTTCTTTCCTTCCTTCTTAGTTGTTTTCTCATCTAAAACAAAGCCCGTAAAAATTTGTATCTTCGAAGAAAATTTCACTCCGTATTCCCCGAGGTAGTGGACAGTGCAGTGTGATCACTTAATCATTGAAGGTCACTTTAGCATATTTAAAAGAGGTTAAGATTGGTTTTCAGGTCTTGTCTAATATTCTCCAAACATAGTCAATCCCTTCCATATTCCTCCTGTCGCTTTGCCAACATATGCATAATTTTTGGCTGTCTTTTGTTTGTGTATGCTATTTTCCCGCAATGCTTGTTAGATTTCTTTTATTACACTGATATGGATTGAATTCCAAACAAATAAGCTGAGCTTACTCGTGCGTGTCATGACGTGAGCTGTCAATTGCGAAAGCGGAATAACAAACTTTATAGTTATATTTTCTATTCTTTATGCATTTAACTACTAGATGTTTAAACTTAAATAAATTTTTACTACATAATTTTCCACGCGGGCCAGGCAGCCTTAAAGTTTTTAAACATCTAGCAGTTAAATACATAAGGAATACAGAATATAACTACAATTGCCATTTCGTCTTTCAAATGTTTAATACTTGTAACGGTATTCATTTGACATTGTGGGTAACCTACAATGCGAAGAGATGGCACTGCATTGCAGCCTAAGAATTAGTAGAAAGCATTCGACAGGGCCATCAGGGCCGCGGTAGCATAATCATCAGAGCTTCTGCCCCGATAGCGGATTGTGTGGGTTCGATTTCCGTCTGCTGCCTGGTCCGCGTGGATTTTTTTCTAGTAAAATCAACAAACTTTATTATATAAATATATTCGCATTAAATTTTCTCCGTAACTTTTTAATTAATTTTTTATACATACCTTGTCCTGACAATAACTAACACAATAAAAAAGAATTATCCAATTTAGTTCAGTTGTTAGCCAGTAATGCGCGTACATACTTTTTGATGATTCATTTATATATATGTGTAGATGTAGTTTGTATGTTGATCTGTTTAGTACTCAATCACTCAAAAACTACTCAACGGAATTGAATGAAGGGCTAGGTTAGGTAAGGCATATAGTTTATGATGTGGATTGAGACTTAGGATACAATTTATCCCGGAAAAATGTTAGGTTTCTGTGGGATTCTCAAGAAACTAAGTTCACGCGGACAAAATCGCGGGCGTCCGCTAGTGTTTTATAACTTATTTTATCTATGTTAAGAAAAACATTAATTTGTAAAGCACGTATTATTTTCATTTTAGATATCATTTCCTTGCCAGATTTTATAGCCAAGTTTAAAATTATTACCATAAAAAAATCCTCACAATCACTTTTCTTTTACAGACTGTAGAAGATCTAGAGGCGCACTGCAAAAAAGCCAGCATAGAGATCGTGACCAGACAGTCTTTCCTGTCGGACCCTGCCGACGCTGTCAGAAACCTCAGGCGGCAGGACGCCCGCGTGATCGTGGGCCTGTTCTACGTAGTGGCAGCGAGACGAGTCCTTTGCGAGGTCTACAAACACCGCCTATATGGGAAATCACACGTCTGGTTCTTTATTGGTAAGTTTTTAGTTCCACAGCTTGAGAAAAGTTGGCATTAATTTTTGTGTTTACGTCAAGAATTTACGGTCAGCAACCTGAGACGGCAGGATGCTCGCATCATCGTGGGCACAAATATAATTCACGATGTCCTCTATTTGCATCAGAGGATGTGTTTAAAAATTCGATTGTGACTCTGACTCCAGGGACAATGTTTTTGATAACTTTATCGACAAATTAACCATAAACAATCCCTCTGATGAGCAGACCACTCAATTGTTCTCACAACTGTCATGGATCTGTTGATAAAAACTTGGTTAAATTTGAATTTTTTTTTCGCAACATTGTCATTGCTTATTACTCGATTGTCTAATATACTTAGAAGGATAACCCTCCAGTTTTGTTAAAGTCTACAATAGTATTTTTTTCTTCTTCTTAGCCGGTACGCTCTTGACAGAGCGGTCGTGATCGCTATGCACTTGTAGTATTATTGGAGGGGGCAGATGTGATGCGCTTCACTATGTTTCGCCATTGCTGCCTGCTAGAGGTCATCCTGCTGCACTCGTTTAGTGAACCTCCAACGGCTGACTTGATCTGGTCAGTCCATCGCGTGGGAGACCTTCCGCGCGGTCTAGTACCTTCCACCTTTCCTTGGACGACAAGGCGTTCTATGGATAGGTTGTTACGCCGAGAAACGTGTCCGAAGAATGTTAGGATGCGAGATTGTACTGTCGAAAATAGACGCTGCCTGATACCGAGTTCTTGAAGTATCGAGACGTTCGTGCGAAACTCGGTCCACGAAACCCCAAGCATTCTTCTCCAGCACCACATTTCCAAAGCGTCCACTTTCTGCCTTTCCACATCTCGCAAAGTCCACGTCTCAGCCGCGTAAAGAAATATGGGGAATATAAGTGTCCTCACAAGCTTGGTCTTTGTGGCTTTAGTAATGTTTCTGTTCCTCCATATTTTCCGCATCTTGTCCATCGCTGACACTGAGTATTTTTTTACTTTTAATTAAATTTAAGGACCCGTACAAACCCTTTGACTCAAAAAACAACTCTTTTTTTTAAATAAAGAAATCCCACATCCCAAATTCCTCACGTATATAAATGTTGGCTCTAAATTATTTCAATAAGATTAGCATGAGGTGAACAAAAAGTTCAAAACGTAATATTGAAATATATACACGGCAAATGGCCCCCATTCATAAGCTGATGACATATTACTTCGTATAATAACCCCAATACTGCTAGCTCGTGTGAAGGAAATTTAAAACAACATGTCATTAAAGCGAGTGATGAAGGAGTAGGAAGGTTTTATGTAAGTGAAAAGTGAGATGGAATTAATAAAAAACATCATGAAAACGGAACGACGGCGGCGTGTTGGCTGGAGTTGAACTCACTTTGCTGTGAGAATAGGGCTCAAAGCTTCACAAATTACTTTATGAGTGAGTTTCTTGGGAGTGTGTTCAGTAAGTGTGTTTCTGTATGGACTTCCTCTAGTAGAGTGTCTTCTTTTCAGAATATCGATGTTGTAATTTAAAGTTTCAATGTTAGCAGAATATACTTTTGATTTAATATTAAATCCGTGACAGATGTTATAAACGAGCGAAAAACAAAGATATGAATTGGCAACTTTCTGTTTCCGGTTCCATAGGAAAATTCTATTATACTTCGCCTTGAAAGATCCCGAATACAAAGTTTGTTTTTTAAGAATTCATTTGTTGATGATCATAAATAAATTTTCCTCAAGTCACTTTGTTGACACGTGGAACTCCAAAATGTAATTACAAATGTGAAATAGATGAAATAAGCTTTATTTTAAAGACAACTCGGAGGTTCCTTTTAGCAATGTTATAATTGGCTTTTAAAAACTTTAATGTGAGTGATTGATTCTAATAACTTTTGGTGCACCAAATGTAATATCTACTCATTTATATCATTGTATGGCTAGGTTGTAATTGGGCTGATTAATTCCGTGCGGTGACGGAGAAAGAATACAACTCACCGCGCCTTCTCTTTCCGTGGGTGTCGTAAGAAGCGACTAAGGAATATCGGAACTTCCATCCGCTCTTCTGGTGGTAGGGTGCCTAACACCCGCCTGGTTTGTTACCACCGTGCGCATGGTGACAACACGGGTTTGTGCTTCTTGCGTGTTTCGGGGTCAGCCAGCGTACAACCAGAGCTCGAGTGGAGGTTGTCACGAAGGATTCGGTCCAGGGGAGGCATCCGTCGAACCGATGCTGGGAGGACTGCATCGACCCGCTGGCTAGGGGCCAGATCCGTAGAAACAGCTGTCCCGCTGGCCGCCCGTGGCACAGCACAGGGGCCCGAGCGTTCCTAACCAGTTCGCGAGGCTGCCCCATCATGTCACGCATAATCTCGGGGTGGACCGTCGTGTCAATCGGGAAAATAAACCTCCCTTATTTGCCCGGACTCTTCGCGACAACGTCCGCTCGTTTTCGCGTCTCTTTTTTTTCACTTCCACCATGGCAGCCTCTAAAACAAAGTTTGGACGTACAGCGGTGCGCACTCCCACGCCTTCAACACTGTTTGAGGTCGAGTTCTGCAACATACGCCAACTCCACTCTAACCTCAACGCTGTCCACCACCATCTTGGGACAGCATGGCCAGCATTGTTGTTCCTGACGGAGACACAAATACTTCCGCCTGCTAACACAAGCTACCTTAACTATCCCGGCTACGTGCTTGAAGAGTCCTTCAAAGCGAATGCCGGTGTATGCCTGTATGTTCGGGCGGATGTTTGTTGTCGCCGTCTCCGCTGCTTGGAATATCTCTCCTTCTCCATGTTAGGGGTACACGTCGATTCTACAGATCCCATACTGGCGATGGCTTTAATAAAATCAAGGCCTACTTTTTTGTAGGAGAAGAAAAGGCTGACGCCTACTTACAAGGAGAAACAAATTCTTTTGATCCGACTAAAAAAAATAACACCTCGGTATTTATCCTCAGTGATGGATCATGAAACCGAAGTAAAGCGAGGGCATGTCTTAGAAAATTCCACCATGCAATCGCTATGTCCATACGTGGACCAACTTATGACAAGTTTCTGCGCTCTACTCCACCGGGCAGCGACATCGACAATCGACTTTTGTTCGTGCAACAATAATTTGCCCTATTTTAGGGCATCAGTGCTCTGGACTCGTGGGAATCTCGTTGGATCGGCTTGGGGTTTCTCTTCTTGGAAAGCAAACCTTACTCAACCCAACCTAGTTTTAGCCGGTTAAGCCCAAGCGTAATTGTAATTCGGGTCATAGCCGTAATATAATATAACTATGCTAATGTTGTATTAGTATCCATCCGCAACTTAGTTTGTTTAGATTTCCGAACTTTAATCCCAGGGAACGTGTCAGTGACAGTAAAATAATTTTCGTAATTATATAATACATATTAATGTGCTTATACCTACAGTACTTGTGAACAAAATTTGATTCAAATTCTATCAGTTGTTTTGGCATGACTGAGTACCAAATTAAATGTCCACATTTGTTATCTTTACATTACAATACTTCTTTTAATTAAAATGAATCTCGCCGGAGTAAAACTATATTTATGAATATTCTTCTTTGATAATTGCTATGGAAATTAACGACTGTTTTTGGGCAAATGGAAGTGAGAAAAGGTGGCTAGAAAAAAAGAATAGTAATTCGAGTTACCGCTACACCCGGTGTGTTATAAAATCTTGCTTTAGTTACTATTCTAACATACCATGTGCTGGGACATAACTATTAACGACTCTTTCAATGAAAGCGTTCTTTTTCTATACACACATTTCTTTTTAAGTCATCATAATTCATAACTCTAACGTAATAAATATACAGCAGTTAATAAAACAATAAAAAAATAAATCTGTATCATAACACGGTGATGCTAAGCCTGTTTTAGCCCTTACAAATGGAAATGATTTGGATCTCAGATCAGCTGCAAAAATTTCTCCCTTCGCTTAAAACGTTTATGTTTATTATATATTGATCATCGCATAAGAAAAATTGCAAATGAAAGAGCAATTTCCGACATGAGAGGATTTACAAAAATGAGATCAGGTTCCTAGAGCTTCCTGATCCCAGTTAAATTTCGTTTAACTCCATCAAAAGTTTCCAATATTGAGCTAGTCGAGCGAGCACTTTTTAAGATGCTTTACCGAGTCTACCAAAAGTCTGCGATTCAGCTGTTTTCTAACTATAAAGACAGTCGAGAAATAAATATAACGTTACCCCGAAATACTATTGAGTGCTTTAGTATGACGGAAGGCTCTTTTTAAATTTGATCTATTTTTACAATCGGTATAGTGTTCAAAGAATGACATGCATTAAACATTTGCTGCACTTGTTTACTATTGATGTTTAGATGCTACAGAAACAAATTGCAGAATATCCATGTGAATAAGGATGATTTTTTCTTTTGTTAATCAACCAAAAAGTGCCAAAGATAAAGCACGTCAAAGTTTGGGAGTGGGAGCTCTTGACGTCACTTCTAAGTAAAAATTCTACCCAGACGTGAAGCCATGCGACATTTCAAATCTGCCTGATAGAAGAAAAAACGTTGGTCATCATCCCAAGTTTAGCACAGTATAAGACCTGCTTGGTTTGATATTTGGTGTGGAATTAGATTTCAGATTGTAGAAATATAAGAACTCACTCAATTGTTTAACCAATTCAAATCACATTTTATGTTACCTTGCCTTGAACTTCATCCAATCTTTTGTTTATTTAATTTTTGGGAGACCAACAGCTCATAAAACAGACATAGTTGAGGAAAAATTAGTAACAGAAGGCCAATTACAGGTCTCCACGTTTAAAAAACAGAAATCTTTATACTTTAACATATAAAATTAAAAACGTGCGGACAAAATAATATGATTAGTCTACATAGTAAAGACAATTCGCCCTCTTAACAATCTTAAACAATGTTCTTTTATTAATAGCAAATTAATGTTATAATTTAGTTTAAGTTCACAATTGTTAGTGTATAGATCCTATTATTTTGCAAGTCTAGAAAAGA